CCCGGGCCCTCCGCCCTCGGCATCCTGGACAGCGCGCCCACCGGTGAGCGGCGGCCGGGGGCGAGGGGGGGGGACGGGGAGACCCCCCTGGGACTCCCCCGGGGCTGCTGGGGTGGGGGGGGAGAAGTTGTCCTGGGACTTGTGTAGACCAAGTGATGACCGTAGGGAGCCGGCTCCCGGGGGGCTGGGGGAGAGGGGAGGCAGAGGAGGCGGTGGGGGGGGAACCTAGAACCCTCAAGGGTTTTGTTTTGATTTTTATCCAGCCCTCGCCGCGTCCCATTTGTGTTTCAGAGCCGTTTTGTAAAATGGTGGCGGTCGTTCTGAGTCGAATCCAGGGAGGATTGCGAAAAAAAAGTGTAGCACCTTTTTTTTTTTTTTTTTTTTTTTTTTTTTTTTTTAAGTTTTTTCTGAAGATTATATCGAGTGGTTGAAATGGTGTTTTGTCTTGTGGTCTGCATGTTGCCTTTTATCTGTGTTGCCAGGCCTGTTGTAAAGCAGCTAAAGTCCTAGAAAAGGAATGTATTCGTCCATTCTTTAATTACTTGGATGCTCGATATTTATGCTTTAAATTCAATCTGTTTGTACAATGGACTTAGATCTGCACTGGCATTATGCGGCAGTGTTAGTGTTGCAAACACTGCAGGGAAGTGTTCATTGTAGCACCTGTTTTTACAGTGGAAACTTACGGAGAAAAATATATTGTTCAGTTTAATCAGAAATACAGTGAGGTGGTTCTGGATCAGGATTGTGTCAATAATGAGGTGATTGGACCAATTTGTAGGGTTACTTAGATGTACTGTTTTTGTAATGTGTGTTTCCTTTGGACTATGATGGAGAATAGAGACCATCTTTGAGCTGGCTACGTGTAGTGTTACAGAAAGGGGAATTATAGCAGTGGATTGAAAAGACAGAATCATGGAATCCACTCTAATTACAAAAATTTTGCTAAGAAAAAAACCTACACCACACAAGGCATGGTGACCGTTTGAGATGGATTTCAAATTTCTGTGTCTGAGTACCTTCCTTTTGCCTGGCTGTTTGTTTGTTTTGGAGGATAGAGGCTGTTAAAAAGAGCTCAAAATCTTTTTGAAATGGACCTTGGAACAAGAGGTTAAGAGTAGTCTCTTTCAAGTTGTCTGTCGTTGTCTTGCAGATTACAACTTTACCTGCATTTGATGTCCTGTAGAAACCAGTGGGACTACTTCTGCTTAGAACTGAAGTGTATGCATGAATGTTGAATGTGAGCCTTGAATGCTCATTATTCTGGTTCTGCTTGATGTATTTGCAAGCTGACAGTATCTGTTAACTGCATCTGGAAGCCTACACTTCCTTCTCAGTTTTGCATCCCTGGTTTTTGTTTCGGGTGCTTTATTCTATACTTTCATACTAGAATTTAAATTTCTGCTTCAGGTAGGACTATGTGTATTCCTTTGGGGAAAAGCCCTCGAACATTGCTGTTTTCAGGCTTTGGAAAATGGTATTTCTCTCCCTGAGGCTTTTGGCCAACGGATGTTTCATCCTCGCTTGAACTGCTGCGTGGAGATACCCAGGGTTGGTTTTCACTAGAGGGAGTTACGTTTGAGGTCACTGTTCCCTGGAGGTAGGAAGAGTAAAAATCTGTAAAGTAGAAGCAGCCGAAGGGAAGCACTGTGCATAGTTAATGGAATTAGGATGCTGTCAGTTTGGATGGTTTTACTACTGATTAAGTTTGTCTTCCTGGGCAAATCACCTCCCTTCTTCAGTTTTCCGCTGTTTTGTAATTACTTATTTTCTCCATAGTAGTGTGACCCTCTGTTGTTCAGAGTAAGGGATCCCAACTTTGGGTGATAATTTCATGCTATCTCTAGGAGCATTTAGATCATTTTGATATAAATAGTTAGACAAAAAGTGGCATTAGGTGACAGAAATTCTTAATTGTAGTATTAATAATGCTCTGGAGCAGGAAATGTTAGAAAATATGGGGTGTTTATTGGTTTGGTGATACTTAAACAGTGTTAAATCATGACTTTTACAGTTTAAAATGAAAAAAAAATTATCTGGTTCATAAATTTACAGTCACAGCACATTTTAGTGAGTTTATTTAAGCTTATAGTGAGAATAAATATAAAAATACAGCATTAGAAAGTAAAAATAGATTATTTATTGCTGGGAGTTGTTTTTATTAGGGACTCAAAGTCAGACTTGATTATAAGTTCTTAAAAGTGGTGCTTGCACCCAGAGTTGCTGCTTTGATGATTCTGAGGCCTGTGCAGCCAGAAATAGTAGTGATGGGTCAGGAACCCATTGTGTAACAGAAGTAAAGTTTGAAGCTCGTTCCATTAAAAAACCCCCAACAAACCCAAGTTTGATACCTGTGCATATATATGTATATGCCTTTCCTTTAATGCCAGAACAATGCTTCCTTAACTTCAGGATGTATTGTTGTGTTTTAATGTTTGTAGGCTGTTACCAGCAGTGCAAAACTGTTAAGATTTTCTAGGACTTGAATCGTGTTAGTACTAAGATTTTTGGGGTGGTCTTCTTTACATTAAAAAATGAAGTGTCCCTTGTAAAACTGTTTCCTCCAGGTGTAGTCATTTGGGAAGTGAATAATTTCTCGTAGGAAGGTGTGGGTTTCTTTATTTCAGTTGTGTCTGCCAAACTAACTGTTATTAGCTGCCCATTGGTGATCATATTTACATTGGCCAGCATTTCTTTAAGAAAGATAATGATTGAGAGGAATTAGTAAATTTAAGAATCTGAAAAGAGAAGGAATTTAATTTAGAAGAGGGAAAACTTCAGTTAGATCCTGTGTAGTGGGCTTCTAAATGAAGTGGTCAGCTGTGATACATTAGCAGTATGGTGTGGTTGCTTGATGTCTTTCAAAGAAATCTGGGTCTTGCTGTAAAATGGCCTTTTACCGACATCTAGGAGTCCTGAGAGATCTCTCTTTCTGGTAGTGTTGTGGAAAATAAATATTAAAGAGTAGCTTTCTGATGGGCTTAACAGAAGCTGAAAGTAATTAACCCTAAGCTTTATGTTTAGAAGGGAAGGTAGCCTTTTGCCAGAGGTAAAGGCTGCATAGTAGCGTGTTTGTGGAGAGCACTCCTGACTGCCTTCACATAATACTCGTGATCCTTATAGAAACTTTCTGTATTTATTCTCTTTCTGAATATTTGTGTTCTACAAAGCTTAGGCAAACATTTTCTTGTCATCCGTTTCCTCTTGTATGATTGGTTCAAAGTAACAATCTCATTTTCCTGCTTAAAATATGTGCCCAATTTTGTTTGAATAAGGGGAAGATGAAGGAGGAGCTGGGGTCAGGAAATGGAATCATGATGTTGAACTATCCTGCAGCAAGTGAGCGTCTGGTGTGGAAAGCTGTATCTGCTGTATTCTGCTAATATGGAAAATTTAAGTGTTATCTGTTAAAGATCTGAGTGACTTTCTGTACTTGTATTAGTAGTCTTCTTTAGCCTGAAGAGTCATGAAGTCATACATGTTGGAACATTTTAAAAGATAGACCACCTTGGATTATTTATCTTATGTATTTGTTTATTTATTCTTGCTTTTAGCACATCAAGTGTAATTTCAGGCAAATTGTCTTAGTCAAGACTTTTTGTGGCTATTTGTAAATACTTAAAGAACCTCTCAGAAGTAAAAAACTTAATAGCTCCATGAGCAGTGGTATGTGGGAAGCCTGTTTTTTTTAAATGAGCATGTCCTTTGTTCTTTCTGCCCTTCCCCCATGTCTCCTACACAATCCTTTCCCTCCTCATGTATCTTGCAGTACCCTTACCAGATAGGACACTTGCTTTGGCAAGTCTGGAATCTCTTGTATATAATAATTGGCCAGCTGGCTGCTGCCAAACAGGGTATTTAACAGATGACTTATTTTATGGGGACACTGATTTGAGTTTTCGTAGAATTTATTGTAATCTGATTAATCTCAAAGAATTCTTTGTTCTCAGTTTGCATGGCGTGTGACCATAGTGTAAAATTTACCTCGAATGGAAAACTGGGAAGAACAAAACATTGCTATTGCTTTTTATTTTATTTATTATTATTTTTTTATTGGGGTGTAAATGAATCAGCTTTCTAAGCAGTTTATGATATCCCTTGCCTGATAATGGTATTGTCACTATGATATGAGAAGATTTCTGTTTATTAGAGTTGTGTAGAGCATAACAAGTCCTTTGGAAACCAAATATTTTTAAGTTCTGAAAAATAATTGAAATCACTATTGTCTTCTGTGCTTGACAATGAGTGGTATGGATATCCCTTGAACATCTTGTTTTACAGTTAAAATGTTATTTTGTTGGGCAGTTGTGTATTGTCACCTTTGAAAATTGTCTTTAATAAAAAAGAAATATTTGTAACAAATTCAAATAGCAATTTGAGTAAAACTGCCTATATTTCCTTTTTCAGCATTGAGGGTGATCATGGTTTATAAAAACTTGTAGGCAAGGGCTGTAAAATTGATGTATAAATGAGTCGTGACAGAGGGGTAGTGGGCCAGGTAATCTAGGGAAGATTTGGGGATAGATTACAAAAGTGCAAATTACCATGGCAGGGACATAGGAAACTAATGTGAGATGCAAATAGTAAAAACATGAATGATAAGTGGAGATCAGGAATACAGGGTTTTATGGTGTACTAAGGTTGGAGGGACATAGGAAGTGGCAGCTATTTAAAAAGTAAATTGAAAGATATGATCTCAGTACTGATGAGCATTCAGTCCACTAGGCTACAGCAGAGCTAGTTGGAAATATCAGAAATAATGACACCTTCCCTTTGGCCAATTGTGTGCAGTGCCAACATTGTGTCCTTAGTACTGAATTTTGGTGAGTAGATGGTGATGAGTAGATGGAGACCACAGAAATGGAGGTTGTCCCTTTGCAGTGCATGGAGGGTGGAGCAGATATCCACGCTGTAGCCTGTGGGGGACCCCATGCTGGAGCAGGTGGATATGCCCTGAAGGAAGCTGCAGCTCATGAAGAACCCCTACTTGAGCAGTGTTTTCCTGAATAATTGCAGCTGTGGAGGGGACTCATACTGGAACAGGGGGAAGGTGTGAGGAGCTGTTATGGACTGACCATAACCCCCCATTTCCCATCTTCCCTGAAATTTCTTTACCACAAGGGTTGTAAGGCACTGGAGCAGGCCACACAGGGCAGTGCTTGAGTTACCATCCCTGCAGGTATTTAAAACACATGCAGAGGGACATGGTTTGGTGATGGACTTGGCAGTGGTAGGTTAGTGGCTGGACTTGATGATCTTGAAGGTCTTTTCCAACCAAAACAATTAATGATTCTATCTATCCTAGGGAGGAGTTGGGAATGAAGGAGTGCAGTTGAGTCTGGGAGAACAGGGATTGTAGGGAGAAGGTGTTTCAGGTTTTGTCTTTCTCACCATCTTTTTTTTTTTTTTTTTTTTAAATTGGGCAATAAGTGTGTCTTTGCAGCAAGTTTGCTGATGACACGAAGCTGGGAGGATTGGCTGATGCACATGAAGGCTGTGCAGCCATTCAGCAAGATTTGGACAGGCTGGAGAGCTGGGCAAAGAGGAATATAATGAGTTTCAACAAGAGGAAAGGCAGTCCTGCACCTGGGAAGGAGCAACAAAATCATAGAATCATAGAATCCTAGGGGTTGGAAGGGACCTCAAAAGATCATCTAGTCTAACCCCCCTACCAGAGCAGGGTCACCTAGAGTACATCACACAGGAACGCATCCAGGTGGGTTTTGAATGTCTCCAGTGAAGGAGAC